GCCCCTCTGCCTTTGTGGGGTCAGTGAGAGTCATAAGGAGATGCCCATGGGCCCCAGCCAGCGTGCCTGAAGGTGTCAGGGCTGGAGGCGGGTTCAGGTCCTCCCCCAGCTGTGGAGGGCAAGTCAGGGCCTTGAGGGCCGGCCGTGGAGCCCTGTGGTGTTTGTGCGGGAGAGGAGAACGCTAGCACTGCATGAGGATGGCAGGAGGCTGCTCATCGTGCTCTGGTTTCTCTGAGAGACGCTTCGTGTGTGCCCGGCAGGGCGGAGGGGCCTGGCGATGCGGCTTCCCTGGCCCGTCGGCCCGCGGAGGGTGCGGCCTGGGAGCGGCTGGGCTCGGGCGCTCTTCGGCCATCAGGGCTGAGTCCCTTCTGCTCAGGGGTTCTCTGGATTCCAGTATTATCCCGGGCAGGTGGCACATTTTGCCTGCACCCTCGCGATGCTTCAGCCGTAGCCGCCCTGGGTCCTGGCAGAACCGTCTGCCGGGGGCAGCTGTCCCCAAAGTGACCCCAGTCCCTCCACATGCACCCGCCAGGTGGGCACAGGCAGGAACAAGGTTCTGGGGAGACCCTGCCTGCCTGTGTCTCCCTCCTGCTCCCGACTCGGGCTGGGCCGGGCCTGGGGAGCGCAGGGCCCGAGGGGGTTTCACTGGTCGCTGTCCTGGGCCTGGGCCTTGGTGCCTGCACTCAGGGTGCCTGGGGCCGGCCTGGGTTTGGGCCCCGTGTCCGGCTGTCAGGCCACCAGGCAGGCGGCCCCTGCGGGTCTCCCTCCTCTCCTGGGTCGTTCCGGGCCCTGTGGCCGCTGCCCCATCTGCGTCCCTCCAGGCCTGTTGGAGTCCCTCTGGCCTGCAGGAGGCCACCTCGGGCCCCAGGGCTGCCCTTTGCTTTCCTGCCTCTGCCGGTTGCGTTTCCTTTTCCGCTCTGGCCGTACGTCAGCCCCGCGCCCCAGCGTGGGAACCGGCTGAGCCAGCGGCCAGGCCCTGGGCTCCCTTTCCTCCGCCGGTCACAGTGCATCGCCCACAGGTGGCACGGTGGGGACCACTGCGCCCCACCCCCGACCATGGAGTCACACCTGCACTCACACGTGTGCACCCGGACCCACTGCCCACACAAGCTCACCCACGCCCTTCCTTGTGCAGATTTGTGTACACACACACACGCGTGCACTCACACCTGTGCACACATTCACACTAACATGCTCACCCCCACACATGCTCACTCATGGGTGCTCACCTGAGTGTGCACAGGCCCCCATGTCAAACATGTGCTAGCCCCCATGTCAAACATATGCTCGCCCCCTGTGCTCGCTCATATGCCCGCCCCAGCCACACGAGCTCACGCCCACATTCCTCATGCTCACACCCGGCCCAGCACTTGCTCCCCTGCCCCCCACGTGAGAGCTGTCCTGCAGACTTGTGCAGCTGGGAGCCCGATGGTGCCTTGGAGTCCTTGGGCCCCTCCAAGCTCGGGGACGAGGGTCTCCAGAATGTTACACTGACGAGTAGAAACCGCCCGTGACGGAGCTCAGCCTGAACGTCACCATTTTTGCAGGGGGGCACTGAGGCTCACACAGGTTAGAAACTGTCCTGTGATGTGCCCGCTAATAAGTGGCAGATCCGGAGCCTGAGCGTGTCCCAAAACCCAAGGTGTCCGGCCCTGCCCGGGTGCTGGCCCGGGTCCTGGAGCGGGCGGTGTGTTGGGCAGGGGAGCCGTGGGGACGGCTGGTTCTCGGCGGAGTTCCCCAGCGATGCCTGGACGGGTCCTGCCCAGCCTCCCCTGCTGTCCGGGCCCCCAGGGGACACGGCCTCTGGGCTGCAGCAGACCCCATGGGCGCCGCAGGCCCCATCACCTCCACCTGCCCTGGCATGCCTCACACTCGCGGGTTTGGACGGGTCCTTCCGGGGCCCCAGGGTCCTGTGGGCGCAGTCCCTGCAAGCCGACAGCACGAGGGAGGCTCCCCACGCAGACCCTTGTGGGCTGGGACACGGGAGGCACCGTCAGATTCCTCAGTGGCTTAAAAAGAAAAACGCTAAATATAAAACAAAGTCGTTACGTAGAAATTGCTAAATTGCAATGCAGAAGCATCCGTCCATCTCCTCCTTTGCTCTCATGTATGGAGTTTTTCATTTTTCTCTTTCAAGTTTCCCACTTGGTTCTTTTTTCACAGATATGAGGTGCCCGCCCCTTTCCTCTCAGGTGGCATCCGATTCCTGGTTTCAGAGCCTTTGTTTTAAAGCCTTGTAGTGTTTTCCCACCTCTGCGGGCCTGACGCCGCCCACCACCCTCTACCTTGGCCGCGGGCACCTGCCCTTCCCCGCGGCAGGTGCACGGACGACTCACGCCTGGCCGGGCCGTTTGTTTGTTCTCACCTTCACTCTACTCATTCCACAAAACCGAGGAGCATCCTCCAAGTTGGTGCTGGGGCGCGTGATGGTGGGCAAGGCAGAGGCGGCCTGCTCCAGGGACACGGAGCAGGGTGCTGGGGCCGGACTTGCACCAGGGGCTCCTTGAGGAAGGGACGTTTGGAGAAGAGACAGATGTCCTAGCCGGCAGAAGCTCGCGCAAGGGAGGGCTCCAGGCAGAAGGGCTGCGCCTGGGGGTGCAGGGGAGGCAAGGGCAGGTGGGGGTGAGGCCCGGAGCTGGGCGGGGGTCCGTGCACAGGGGCCGGGGGCCGTGCGGTTTTGTGCCAAGTCAACCAAAGGCATTGAAAGGTTCGCAACCAGGGGCACCGAGACCCGATTCGTGTTTTGGGCCGTGTGGCTGCAGGGTGGGGGTGGGAGTTGGGCAGGGGGGAGTGAAGGCTGCAGCCAGCTCAGCATCCGCAGGGGCAGAGATGGCCATGGGGTGACCAGCGCGGTGGGGACAAGGTGGAGAGACAGGGGCGTGTTGAAGGTACCTTGGGGGCAGAACCAGCTGGACTGGCTTTGGACCATATGCAGGCGAGTGATGACAGAGTGCCCGGGACAGTGCCGCGAGGAGGGACATGGTTCCCATCGGCTCCCTTGTCCTAGGAGCATCTGGGGCCGTCTCTAGCCCAGGATGGAGACGGGCGATCAGTGTCTGCGCTGGACACACAGAGGGAGCAGCGGCTGCCCCAGGCCTGGGGTCCCGGCGTGCGCGTGCGGTGGTGTCTGCGTGCTTCTCCTCCACTTGGCCGGAGAGACGGTGTCTTTAGCTGGGGCAGCTGTGGACACAGCACGGGGCCGGGCCACAGAGAGAAGGGGGCAGGGTAGGGTTTTATAAGAGAAGAGCATTCCTTTTCCTCTGGCTCCGAATCAGGCAGATGCTTCTGGTGGTGGGGGTGGAGGGCGTGGGCTGGGGGAGGCCACTGAGGACTGTGGCTCAGGCTCCAGGAGGGACCCTGAGATCCGGGCAGGTCCTCAGGGTGGAGCAGGGGGCTCCTGGGAGGGCAGAGTCCCCGGGGCAGGCTTCCGGGCCGGCACCAGCCCCCACCTGAAGGCGGCCGGTCTTGGCCATTTGGGGCTGGACGTCTTCAGGACCATGAAAACCTTCTTCGTGGTGAAAGATAAACACAGATGGCCACTATTTCTCAATAACATCGCATGAGTCAACAGGTTTCAGGCGCGGGTACTTGGGACACTGATGTTTCCTGTTACATAGGCCTGGGTCAGCCCCTCTGCCCAGGGGGGCTTCCCTGTGCCGACTCCGGGTCACGGCTCATCTGGCTTCCCTGCGGCCCCGGCCCCCTCGGGCTGCAGGTGTGCGACGGAAGGAAGAGGCTGGCAGGGCCTCTTGGCCAGGTGTGAATGAGGACCCACTGGGACGCCTGCAGGGTGGCCCGAGGGCAGAGGGGCCCCTCCGAGACTAGGCGGCTGTGGTCGTGGATGGCAGGAGAAGCCGCGTCCGCAAAGGGCAGTGTTTCTCTGCACCGGCCCGGCCGGGTCCTCCTGGCTCCAGACACTGACGTTGGAGGGTCTTGGGCTTGAGCGCTGGCCTGGGCCTGGGCACTCCTCACTGCGTGACCTGGGCCGGGCACGGATCATCCCTGAGCCTCAGTTGTCCTCACCGGGCTTGGACCCGCCAGCCAGGCTGCCGTCCCTCCCCTCGGCCGACCCCGCTGCGCTCCAGGGACCCCAGGTGCCCTGGCCTGGCAGGTCTCCTCCGTCCAGAGCTTCTCTCCGGACCCCCACAGGGATGCCATCAGTGACACGCAAGCCTGCGGAGCCCATGGGTCGTCCGGGGTCCAGGGTGGCAGGAGGTGGCCCAGTCACTGTTCAGAGTGTCCACTGTCCCAGTGAGCTCCCCACAGGGGTGGGGCATGGCCCGCCCTGTAGTCACGTGCAGGGTGGGGGCCGCAGTGGCAAGGAAATCGGTGCCTGAGCGCCCTGAGCGTGGGCACTTGGTCCGTCCTGGCGAGGGCACCTGCTGTGGGGGACCGGTGAGGCAGTCTGGCATGGCCAGCTGGGGGGCTGCCTGTCCGGCTGTGGCCTCCCGCACCCGCACACCCCAGCCTCTCTCACTGGCCCAAGGGAGCCCCCGGGCAGCTGGGGGCTGCGGGGGAGGGCCTGGTTGCAGAGGCTCTTCTATAGAGGAGGAGAAGGAGGCAGCCAGCCCCTCCCCCTCCTGGACCCCCTCCATCCACGGCCCACCTTCCCTCGCCAGGTCCTGCGGGCCTGGGCTGCCACTGGCCCTCCCTGAGCACAGGACCAGCCTGGTAGGTTCTACCACGGGGGCTCGAGGGGGCTTCTCGGCCAGGCTCCCAGCTCCCTTTGTGGCCGTGGGCCGCACCTGTCCACTCTTGCCTGGGCCGAAGCGAGAGGGTTTTCACCACACTCAGGGGTCTGCCCAACTCTGACTGGTGGTGGTCACGGCGGGGGCCACTTCAGGCTGCAGCAGGGCCGGGGTCAGTGTGTGGTCCAGGACAGAGGGAGCAGGGGCCAGTGACCTGGCAGGCTCAGCCCCTGGCACCCCGGGGGCCTGTCCAGGCCGTGCCTCCCCCTCCCCCCGTCCCTGCTCACGGACCGTCTCTCCTTCTCTCCACAGCCCAGTGCAGTGCTGGCCTCTGTTTTAATGGTGGCCACTGCATGCCAGGCTCAGCCCAGCCATGCCACTGTCCCCGAGGCTTCCAGGGTCCCCGCTGTCAGTACGGTGAGTGGAGGCCCCTCGGGCACCAAGGCCCCGGCTGTGGCCAGCCTGTCGTGGGGAGGGAAGTGGGGGGGCACATATCAGCGGCTGCCCGTCCCTGGACAAACGTGTTCTCCTGGGGACATGCCCCATCCCTTTACCCAGCTCCCTGCAGCCATCTGAGGTTGTCGGGAGGGGTGACCCCCGAGAGACCCACCTTCAGTAGCTGGCTCTGCACCCCACAATCTCAGAGCCCACCCTGTCCAACCCTGCCATTTATGGACAGAGACCCCAGCCCCTAAGAAAGGCAGGGAGAGGCTGGGGTCCTGGGGTCCCTGGCTGCACTGCCACCGCGCCGGAGCCCTCGTCCTTGCTATGGGAAGACGGGAGCCTGGGGTCCCAGCCGGGGCAACGTGTTGCATAAACCGTGGCACATCGTAAACTGAAAATCAGGCACCAGCAGGAGCCATTGTCATGGGGGGAGATGTTTATGGGGGACAGATACAGGACGGATTACAAATAAGCGTTCGGTGATAGACTTTTTGTGAGAAAAGCAGGTCAGACGCGAGGAAAGAGGTCAGAACTCCACAGACGCTGGCCGGGAGGTGGAACTTCCCTTCCTCTGAGGTCTTCTGCTCTGCCCAGTTTCTCCCCAGCGGGTCGCGGCACTTTGAAATTGCTGCTGGGGTGGGCGGCAGGGGCTGCTTCCCAGCAGAGGCCCCAGCAGGCAGGACACGCGCTCTGGCGGTGCTCAGGCAGGCGACAGGAGGGGATCCGAGGGACTCCAAGGGAACAGGACCTTCCCTGTGTTCTGTGGTCACTTGAGGGTTCGAGTGCCTGGGGCTGTTGGTTGCCCTCTGTTAGCGGGAGGGTCCCCCCACCGGGCAGTGCAGGCTTGCTGCTTCCTGACCCCTGGCCTGGGAGAGCTGCCGCCCGGGCCGTGGGGAGTGGCCCCTCCAGGTCCTCCGGCCGTCACTGCCCAGTGACATCCAGCCTCCAGGCCTCACCAGGCCTCCTTGTGGCCCTGTGGGCTGGCTGGCCGTGGCCACCCTGGCCTGAAGGTAGGCGGGGTCCCCGAAGGGTGGCGGGGCTCTGGCCACCTTCGCCTCTTCGTGGGAACTCGAACTGCGCACAGGTGGGGCCGGAGCAACGCTCCAGGGCCTTTCTGGCTCGGTCGCCTAATCTTTCGAAGCGTGCACTGCTTGGCCTGGGTTTCCGGAAATGCCTGGGCTGTCTGGGCTGCATGGCGAAGGGACCTCCTGGCGCTTGCGATCTCTGGGGAAGTTTCCAGAGCAGGGCTGTGGCTGGATGGTTGATAAAGCAGACCACACCTCGGTCTCTTCTCCTGAGGGAGGGTGACAAGGAGGTGACCCTGGGGTGTGGCCTGTCCTGGTCACATCCTCCAGGAAGGGCCAAGGACACCTGACCTGCCCCCTCAGGGCCAGCTGCCTGCCCAGCCCCTCCTCTGCCCTGTCTCTGCCCACCATGCCCCCTGCCCCATCTCTGCTGAGGTGCTCTGCTCTGAGCCCCCCTCTGTGCTGAGCAGCCTCCCGCCCTGAAAGCCTCACACCTGGCCTCCTGGAGCCAGAGGGGACGAAGCTTGCGGGGCCTCCTGGGGGGCCTGGGCACCTGGTAGGGGAACTTGATGTCAGTGGGGCCCAGCATCTAGCAGAGGCATGGGGTTGGGGAGCAGTGCATCTCTGGGGCTGGCATGGCTGTGGGGGGCAGGCATCCAGGGGGAGGGGCCTGTCTTGTCCAGGCCCAGGCAGCATCCACCGAATGGGCCACATTTGGTGCTCTCGGGTTGGGTGCGTTCACGTGCCCTGGGCCCTGCCAGCCTCCGGGCCCTGACTTCTGCGTCAGACTCTAGGGTGCCTAGAGCAGCAAGCCCAGTCCACAGCTGGGGTGGGAACAGCCCTTAGAGAGGGCCTGGAGGCCCAGAGCTCCTTCCTAGCTCTGAGCCACCATCCGCCTGCAGTGCCTCATTGAATCCGCACTTCGACTGGTTGTGAGAGAGGAAACCACGGCTGGGGAGGCCCGACAGCTGCCGACCACTTGGTGCCTGAGTGGCAGAGCTGGGCTGAAGCCAGGTCTGTCTGAAGGAGCACTTGGAACCTTCTGGCTACACTGCCTCCAGGTGCAGGGCAGAGCCTGGGTCAGGGTGGAGCCTGCTGAGATCTGCTTTGGGGGAGAGAGGGGAAAGGTCCCCAGGGAGAGCAGGAGCATCCTCCCCTGGGACCACCTTGTCACGCTAGAGGTGGTGGGCTTCCTGGGAGAGTGGCTGGTCAGTGGCAGATGTGGCCTTCAGAGGGTGGTGGACAAGTTGGAGGGTGGCTGCCTGGGTACTCTCTCCTGGAAAAAGGGCTGAGCATGCAGGGCTGGCTGTGCAGGGCTGAGTGTGCAGGGCTGAGTGTGTAGGGCTGGCTGTGCAGGGCTGGCTGTGCAGGGCTGGCTGTGCAGGGCTGAGTGTGCAGGGCTGAGTGTGCAGGGCTGGCTGTGCAGGGCTGAGTGTGCAGGGCTGGCTGTGCAGGGCTGAGTGTGCAGGGCTGGCCAGGGCCAAGTGTGCAGGGCTGAGTGTGCAGGGCTGAGTGTGCAGGGCCGGCTGTGCAGGGCTGGCTGTGTAGGGCTGATTGTGCAGGGCCAGCTGTGCAGGGCCGGCTGTGCAGGGCTGAGCATGCAGGGCTGGCTGTGCAGAGCTGATTGTGCAGGGCTGGCTGTGCAGGGCTGAGTGTGCAGGGCCGGCTGTACAGGGCTGGCTGTGTAGGGCTGATTGTGCAGGGCCAGCTGTGCAGGGCCAGCTGTGCAGGGCTGAGCATGCAGGGCTGGCTGTGCAGAGCTGATTGTGCAGGGCTGGCTGTGCAGGGCTGAGTGTGCAGGGCTGAGTGTGCAGGGCTGGCTGTGCAGGGCTGAGTGTGCAGGGCTGGCTGTGCAGGGCTGGCTGTGCAGGGCTGACTGTGCAGGGCCGGCTCTGCAGGGCCGAGTGTGCAGGGCTGAGTGTGCAGGGCTGAGCGTGCAGGGCTGGCTGTGCAGAGCCAGGTGTAAGGGCCACGCTGCCTGCAAAGCAGCCCGTGGCCTTGGAGCCCCTAACCAGACCTCTAATGGTCACCTTCCTGTCCCCCCTCCATGGGCACCGCAGACCTGAGCTCAAACACAGTTGGGAATATTTAACTAACTCCCCAATTACAATTGATTCCAGTTTTGAAAATAAAAGTCATATTTTCTGATTCCCCCAAATTTGTTCATTTGAACAAAAGCGTGGCGGGGGGAGGCAGGGACTGGCAGGTGAGGACTGTGCAGGCAGTCGGGGGGGGGAGCCCCCTCCAGAGAGCCCCTCCCCCGTTCTCCCACCCAGATGGGGAGTCAGGGCTTGGGCCTGCGGTAGGAGGGTGGCTTAGCCGCGCTGTTCCAGCTGTTCCACGATCACCTGAAGCCTTTCTGCAGAAGCACCAAGCACCCAGGGGCCCGGCCCGGGGTGCGGCCTGTAGCGGAGGCCCTGTCCAGCGCTGCGCAAGCCCTCGTGCGGTTTGCCCAGTGCTGGCTTTGGTGCCCCCCAGGCCTGCTCCCGTGCGACCAGGGTAATCTCCCCGCTCGGGCCCGGTCCCCCCTCTGCCGGGGGAAATGAGGTGGGCGCAGGTTGTCTGAGTCAGTGTAGCTGAGGCCCAGAGCCCGCCTGGAGGGAGTGTCAGGATGTGGGGGCTGCTGTCGGGGACAACCACAGTGAGGGCAGCGAGTTCTGGGGGGCTGGGGCAGGCTTTGCCCCCGGTTCTTGGGGCAACTACACTCATGGCCCCCCTGTGCTTCCGTGGGGTGCAGCTCCCATGTGGCCTTTCCCTCAGGTGGCCTGGGGTCGGGAAGCCCCCCAGGACTGCCAGCCTCCTTGCCCTGCGGGTTGGTGCTGTGGTCGGCAAAGGAGGGAGGGACTCTGGGGACCCCCATTCCTCACGGGGCTCCCGGGTCCCGTCAGAGCATCGATTCCATCCGACCGACCGGGAGTGGTTTTCATGGCTGAAAATACGGCCTGGTCCTAGCTTGGCATTCGGAGTCCCAGCTGTGCGCGGTGCTCCGGGAGTGCGGCCGATGCCCTCGGCCCCTGCCCACACCTGCTGGTGACTGGGCTAGCGCGACTGCCAGCGCCGTCTCTAGGGAAAAGATGGGCAAGAAAAACTCACCTGTAAGAACTTGCCCTTTTACTTGAGCTGTCTTTTGTGCTGTAAATCGCGACCGAATAACCACTGTCATCTCTCTTGACCCAGTCTCAGCCAAGCTCACGGGACAAGGGCGGACTCTGAGAACCAAGGCTTGGGTCACCTCTAGGAATTTCTTTGGTTCAAGCAGCTTTGGCACTGGTTCCACTGTGGGCCTCGGTTTCCTCACCTGAGAAATGGGCAGGTTGGGTGGGTCTCTGAGGCAGCTCCACATGAAAGTGCTGCACCTGGGTCCGGGTGGTGGTCCCGAGGGCTTCCTGGAGGAGGTGGGCCTGTGGGCTGGGGAAGATGCAGGTGGATCCTGGCAAGTTTCCAGATGGCAGAGGCAGGAGCAGGGAGCAGAGAGGGGCAAGAAGTCAGCCCAGCCCTGACGAGCTGGTTGGGTATCAGGGGGAGGGGTCATCTTCCCTCCCGCCTAGAGACTGAGCCGGGCTGCCTGGGGCTGGCCTCGCTCCTGGCTACCTGCTGGGGACCTGCCTGGGCCCCGCGCCCAGGCCCACTCTGGGGTCTGGTTAGCTTTGAAGGAGCCTCAGTTTCCCTCACCTCAGCAGGAGGCTGGTGGGGGCCTCTGGGGAGTGGGCTGGAGGCAGCTGCAGCGCTGGAGGCCCCGGGGCCACACCAGGCAGCAGAGCCAGGAGGGGCAATCTGCGGCTCCTGGGGCCTGGGGCAGCGGCAGGGCGGGGCGGGCCTGGCTCCAGGGCGACTGTTTCTAAACCGGGATAACCGATGAATGCAGAGGACGGGCTGCCAGCTGCCCTCAATGCTGCCACTGTGTCTGAGGGTGAGAGTCCGACCCCTCGCCCCGGGGCCAGATGCCAC